TGCTTCTCCCTCTCCCACTCCCCCTGCTTGTGTTCCTGCTCTCACTATCTCTGTCTCTGTCAAATAAATAAAATCTTTAAAAATAAAATAAAATAAAATAAATAATATGGCACAATTACAAAATAAGAGGCTAAAAGAGAAGAGAGGTATTTGGGAGATTTGATAGCTCATGTGACAAGTATTATGAAGAATTCAATGTGGAAGAAGATGGGAAAAGCACAACAAAAAGAACTTGCCCTCATTCATTCCTTCATTCATTCACTCAGTAATTACAATCAAGCCCCAACCAAGAACCTCAGGCACATAACAGCTGGAAATGTTCATCTAGCAATCTGGTCCTCCTATTCTTTCTTTTGAAAACTGTAACTTCTGGACAGAATCAAACTTCACATTAGACACTTTCTTTCTGGGTAACACAGAGCTTGAGACTGGGAAGAGCTGAGGTCTCTGGAGCATGGGAAGACCTGCACCACCCTGCTCAGAAATGCCAAATAAACTCTCTTCATTAATAATAGTGAGGGGCCCACCTTTATCAACACAAATACCAAAACAGGGACAAAGTCATCTGCTCCGGGGACGGAGTCCTCATTGGCCAGGCTCAGGAGGTTCATGATGGTGGAGCACATTCGCAAAATGCACTGCACTTTGTCCCGAGGGGTCTTGTAAGCACTTATTGTCCTGATTTCCGACTGTGCAGATGGCCATGGGGCCTCCCGAAGATAAACCTAAGTGAGACCAGAGACAGACAGACAGATCTTGAATCTAACCACAGCAACCACAGCAACCTCCGTGTCAGGAAGCAGAAGGGCAAGCTTGGTGCCTTTTCCTTTCTTCAGTAAAGCCAGGTTGCTGTTCCTTCCCCTCCCACTAAGACCGAAGCTTAATTTTTAAACTTTTAAATAATTTGCTTTACATTTTCGAATAAAGCAACCCAGATATCCATTAATGGAGAAAAGGGCATACGATAACACCCAACCTAGAATTCAAAAAGTTTCAAATACTTCTCTTTCTTAAGTAGCTAGAATGGAACTTCTCTACATGTAGTAGCTGATTCTAAAAACACAAACAAGCTACTTCTGGAAGAAAAAAATTTAAAAATACGTACATTTGTTGCAGTAGCTCTAGAAAGAACAGATTCAAAAAGGCAAAAGATAATTTAAAAACTCATGCTAATCATAATATTTCATTAGTGGGGACTTTAATAAAACAACCAGAAAGCTCAAATACCTGAAATTTTCCTATCATTTTGTAAAACTGTATGACACTAAAAGGTAATTTTGACATCACATTCGGATTTAATTTCCTCCCCTGGAATAATAGTAGTCACACTCTGTGGAGTGTCACCAGATTCCTTATTCAAATGGGACTTTTCTGCAGAAACAGGACAATAAAAACATCTATGGAGGGGGCGCCTGGGTGGCTCAGTTGGTTAAGTGACCGACTCTTGATTTCGGCTCAGGTCATGATCTCAGGGTTGTGAGACAGAGCCCTGCGTCCGAAGCTTGCTTAAGATTCTCTCTCTCCCTCGGATCCCCTTCATCACAATCTCTCTCTAAAACAAACAAACAAACCACCTCCATGGGGAGCACGGCGGCGGGAGGCGGGGTGGCTTCAGGGCCCTCAGTGCAGCCTCCTCCTCCTCATCTCCCCACTGAGGTGCTGTTCCATGCCAGGCACTTTTAATCCCAGGGCCTTTGAGGACTTTACAGTTGGAATTACAGCTAATGCGAGTCGTGCTTTATAATTCATTACGTTCTGTCTCCATGCACATGGAACACGGAGCAACTATGGGTACCGCCCATGCCATATACACTTGCATTACCTCCGGTATCTGAAGAGCTCTGTGATTTGCAGTCACTACTTTAGACAATCTCTGAATATGTTCATGAAGAACCCTGCAAACCCCCCAAAACACATATGTAAATACATATTTCAGATAAGGTACACAAAGAGTCATAATTGATTTTTTCAAAACATTTAAACTTAATTTGAGATACAGATTACAATTACAGTTGAGAGTATCTCTTAGCTATAGGTATTCTGTCTTGTCAAAAAAAGTCTCACACTTAGGATCTGCTTAGAAATGCTAAGTGAGCTGAGGGGAGACAAGGAGAGTAGGGAAGTCCTTCCTTCCTAGCCGAGGACAGCACATTCCAAGGGACAAAGGAGAGGAGCCCTAGCCCAGAAGCCACCTGGACACACTAATTAGTACAAAGCACAGAGGAAGTATAGGGATCAAAAGCCAGAAACCAAAGATCACAGAAGTTTAGATAGAGAAGGGCTCTTGAGAACACTCAAACTCTCTCATTTCATAGATGAAAATAATCAGGCTTAAAAAGGTGAAGGATTTGCCTAAGGTCACACAGGGATTAGTAGCAAGGGCTACACCCAGCTTTCTTGGTTTCTACTGTTCTTTCCAGAACACCATGTTAACTGTCCACTCTATAACACCTGCAGAAATGCCATGGAGGAGTGGGTAGGAATAATCTGCTTCAAAGCTACTCTTTGAGGTAAATAGTTTGAATGTCCCTAACTCCTTATCCCATTCTGGAAGCCAAAAACTGGTCTCTGGAGAGAAAAGAGGTCCCATTTGGCAAATTAAGTACAGAAGCCTGGGTAGATCTCTGAGAGTTTTATGAACCAGTGGGAGAGGCAGGCTGGAACAATCCTAACCCATTCACTGAACATACACGCAAGATCTTGGCATTTCCATGAAAGAATCCTTCTATAAACCACTCATGAGTCACCCCGAGATCCTATCACATGGACCCCTTGACAGCCACTGGCACAGGAAGCCAGTGTTACTGCTGGGGACACGGAAGCCACCTCAGCATGCTCGGGGCAGAAACAGGGTTGGAAAGCAGTGCTCAATAAAATGCAAAAAAGGAAACATGAAAACATGAAATCATCCCTATTCTCATTACTCAAAATATAACCCCTGTTACCACTCCAGGTATTTTTTTTTTCAGGATTCATTTTTTTTTAGGATTATTTTTTAAAATCAGCTTTATTGAGACATAACTCATACACCATACATTTCCAGATATTTTTTGATACCCAAACGTAGAGCTTTTCATTCCTACTAAACAGATAATGAGCATATGGAAGTCAAGCACTGTGCTTGATGCTGGGGGAGAGTGGTGAATAAAAAGCATGATGTTCCTGCTCTCGTGGGGCCGATGACCCAGTGGAGGAGAGCGGCGCTCACCAGACGACCACACACAGCAGTGATCACGAAGGGGGTGATTCTGCCCCCTGAGGGGCATTTGGCAGTGCCCGGAGACATTCCGGTTCTCACAGCAGGGGGCACTACTGGCAGCTAGAGTGTACAGACCAGGGATGCCACTAAACATCCCACAAGGCACACAGCAGCCTCCCACACCAAAAAACTATCGGGCCCAAAATGTCAGTAGCACCAGGCGGAGGAATGTCAAAGCACAAGGAGGGCAAGTGCTAACAAAAGGTACACAGGCCCAGGAGAGCCCTGCCAGGGACAGGACCCAGCCGGAAAGGTCAGGGAGGCAGTGCTGCAGTCAAGATCTGAAGGTAGAGAAAGGAGGGGAGAACAGCTGGTTCAGAAGAGCAGCGGTGCCCTCCAAAAAGGCCACAGCAACTGAGACACCCTCCGGCCTCATTCCCATTGCCCTGAAAACAGACAGTTATCCTTCTTTCTGATCTTGGAATCAGACGGGTAAAAAACAGTAACACGCACTGCCTTCACCATCACCTACTAAGTCTCAGCACAGCTGGTGTGAAACAAGGGACTGGCTGATGGACCCCTACGTGGTCAACCCGGGCGCAGTAAACATGGGAGTGCTCACTGGTCACGAAGTATGTCCCCATCCTGGTTAGGGTAGAAAGCAAGCTTGAAAATCCGATTCATCACACTCCGTTCGATGGCCAGCTGAGCGTCCTGAAGCTGCTCTTCACTCGCATTCTGCCATATGACATCCTGGGCCATCGCACCATAAAGGAACTGCAGAAAATCTTCTACCTGAGCAGTTTTATCATCAGCTGCTGTGAGTTGCTGAAAGTCTCCAATGCAAAATAATAATTTTTTAAATACACTATCTGAATAATTTTAAAAAGGAAATTATAGAAATCATTTTAATAACTAGCTATGCAGATATTATGCACTTAAAGCCAAAAGTATCTGGGTATGGTTTATTTTAGGAGAGTATGTGGCCAAATCATTAAAATCAGGAGAAAGGTAAGAAATATGCAAAAGTTTAAGAGCAAGGGGTTTGTTATAAAAATGACATACTTTGACTAATGTACTGAATCACTATACTGTACACCTAAAACTAATACGACACTGTACATCAATTGTAATGGAATTTTAAAAATAAATATTAAAAAATAAAAATTAAAAAAATTTTAATGATATGCTTTATTTTTAAGTATGAGAAGAACTTTGTGAACCCAAAACTTTAACCAATTTTCCCAATTTTGTATAAACTACAGATAATCGATCCATGATAAAAATGAAATTTACTGGTTCGACATCAAGGTTTAATGATTAAGAATCCATAAAACACCTACTCTTAGACATGCAACTACTCACACCAGCGGTACAAAAATTTCTGAATCTCCCCACTAACACATGGCTGAAGAGATGCTTAATCTAAAGGTCTTTAGTTACCGTGAATGAATTCCCTGATCTTCTTTTCTTTGCTCTCAAGCAGCAACCTCACACAGACAGTGGTGAAGTATCGATTGGCCACCTCTTTGTCCCGCAACACCCTCTGCAGTAGCCTCTCCAGGTGGGCCTGCGTGGTCTGCAGCCCTTGCCGACAGCGAGTGAGATAAGCAATATAGGGCGCCCTTTTCCTAAAAGGAAACAGACTTTGCAGGACATCATATACACACAGTGCACACTTTCTTGGAGACGAAGAGTCCTAATTTTTCTTTTAAAAAAATATGACCTTTGGTTTTATGAATTAACCATGTCAGGCTGCAGACAACTGTCTTGAGGACTAATCATGCTGCCAGCTCGTGCTGGTGAAGAATAACACCTACTGGGCTGACCACTTAGCTACCTAACTCACTACATGTTACTAAGTCCCTAGGCATCCTTGATCTATTTTGTATTGGCCCATGGTCTCCATGCTGTAAGACCTCACACCTCACAGGAAACTGATTGCTACAGAAGACTAAAACAACAAAATACAGGTTAATATACCACTAGATCATTAAACATATCAGCGATTATCTGCTTATAGTCTAATTGTAACAATCCTTAGAGCGCCCATCCCCTAAGCCTGGGGGCCTGGTCATCTCCCAAGACTCTCCCTGACGCTCTTCTCCTGAACTGTTAGCAAAGGGCGGCAGCAGACAGAGGGCAGCAATTTTTAGGCCTACGCCTGCTTCCCTGTTGCAGGGAAGTCGTTTTTCTGGTCACCCCCAAGAAAAGGAGTAGGATATCCTAGTTATCCTGGCATCACCTCTGCTAACACTGCTTCAGTGCAAAGCTGAAGACAGTGCACTTCTCTGTTAGTGAGAGCTGCTCATTTACAACTACATTTCCAGATAAATATCCAAATGTGTTCCTTGGAAATCTACATCCAGATAAACACAGCCCAGCATGTTGCAGTAAGCCTAGATTCACTTGTGAAATCAAGACAGGGAAGAAGATCCTTGACGCCGGGTGACAGGTGCAGGAGGCTGGGGTAAATACCTGTAGTCCTCGGCAATAGAGGCCAGCAGTTTCCTGCAAGTTCTGTTATCAAAGCGGCACACGCAACGCATTGTTTCTTGAAGCTGAGCCATTAAGTTCTTATCTTGTAAATTAATTGCTTCAGCTATTTGAACTTTTAAGAAGCATACAATTTCATTGTCTAAGCAAAAAAAAAGAGAGAGAGAGAGAGAATTCTGTTATTGTCGAGAATTTCCTCTGCATGCCATCCCTCAGCCTTTGGGATGTCAGTTCTGCTCAACCACGGATCAGCAGAATTAAGCTGCACTGCCACTCACTTTAATGAAGCATCAGGAATCAAAGTGCCCTTACCTGATGCTAATACAAATATACTAATGGAAACATACGGAATTGCTACATAGCTTACACAGGTGTGTACGAGCAGTTTCACATGGTTCAACCCATAAATACAGGAAAAACTTACCCTCTGGGTCTGTATGGTCCGGTAAACCATTCCTTGTTGAATGGGTTAGCACTGGGAAAGCAACAGAATCCGCAGAGCAAAGAGCAAGCCTCAGTTTCTTTTTTGCATCTCTGAAGAATGAGTCAAAAGTACATTAATTTCTTTTTTTTTTTTAAGATTTTATTTATTGGAGAGAGAGAGGGAGAGAGAGAGAGCACAAGTGGAGGGAAGGGCAGAGGGAGAGGGAGAAGCAGACTCCCCTGCCGAGCAGGGAGCCCGATGCGGGGCTCGATCCCAGGACCACGGGATCACAACCCAAGCCGAAGGCAGCCACCCAACCGACTGACCCACCCAGACACCCCAAAAGTACAGTAATTTCTTTATGCAGATACGGTCACAGTTTATGAACACTCACTATATAAATTAATATGCTACCTCAGGACTCAAATGTTTCAAGCAGTCATAAAGAAAAGATAATTTTTAATTTATTGACACCTCACTTAAAGGAACAGGCTTTCTAGTTACCCAAGGAACAAGGCTATAAAAATGCTCTGGGCAGGATCATTCTGTAAAGTCACCAGAATCAGTCAAACAACAAGTCCTTTGGACCCTGCAACATACTGAGTCTCACAACGAACATTATGAGAATGAGAAAGGGGCATTATGCCAGGGTCAGCAGGGTCAGACAGAAGTTACCAGAACCATCTCATCACGCAAACCAAGAATGCCCTCCACCACATCTCTTGAGAAAGGCTGATCCTGCCACAGGACGAGCTCACCACTTGACAAGAAGCCCTTCCTATTGCTCTACTGCTTGAAACTGCAGCTGACCCTGCCATCCGTTCAGTCTCCCCCAGCATTTCCCACGTGGCCGGGGAGCTTGGTGTGGGCAAAGGGACTGCCACGTGTGTCATTTAAAGGACTGACGTGGCCCCTGTGAGCACATGTGGTTGGTTTTTCACCCCTGAATTAAAGCCTTTGATATATGGCATCCACAGTGAAGCAGTCTTTTCAGGAAATAGCATTTTGTTCTTATCTCTCTGCTCTATACATTTACTCTGTGGCTCAATGAATCATTTGACTTGAAGCAACTGCAGTGATGATGAAAAGTCCAAACCCTCAAATCTGAAATCCTATCAAAGAAATACCTGTACGAGAAAGCAGAATCCTGAGGGTGGGCCGCCTGGCTCGCAGAGTCCGGGAGATCATCGGCCGAGATGTTCTGCAGCGTTTCCTCTCGAGGAGAGTCATGTGCACTCTCACCATCACCCATGACCTCTGCACAAACCCACCCAAGAGAGGATAAAAGCAGGTTAACCTGGAAGCGTCTAGCACAAGGAGGTATTCGAGCTACTCGACCATAAATTAGCACTGTACTTTACAGTCAGAGTTGTTCAATGAAGCACTGAAGCATTATCTGTTAAGTCACAGACTTTCATTGCCTTTAATCAGAATTGCTGAACCACAGAACTAAGAGGGGCCTCAAAAATCATCTTACATAACACCCTCATGTTATAGTCATGGATTCCTGCCCAAGCAGAAAGTGGCTTGCTGGACAGCCCTCAGCTACCTGGTGGCTAAGGTGAACCCTGCCCTCAGCTCTCCAGGGCTCTTTACTAGAGCTTTTCCCACTGCCCAAGGATGAGCTGGGACAGATCTGTGGCTCCTGCAGCTGGTTTTATGTTTTCAGTTAACCAATTTAGAGAATACATTCATATATAAAATCAAAAGGAATAAAAACTCATACTATAATAAAGATACTGTGCTTACGTAGGACAACTATCTTTATTAGGAGATAATTTCAAATGCTTCAGGGGAAAAAAAGGAAAAAATATACAGAGAGAAAATGCGGCAAAATGTTAACAACTGATAAAGTCCAGGCAGAAAGAATATGGACCTTCACTGTACTATTCAACTCTTTTGTCCTTTGAAACTTTTCAAAATAGTAAGTATGGGAAATCCGCCTCTACTTTGGCTTCCCCTTATGCTCCCTATGATTTCTCCCTGAGCCATCTCACATTACCAGTCAGATTCTTCCAGGGACACTGTGCACCACACAAGCAGAAACACATGCCGTATGTAATTTATGCTTTTATATACATTTCTTTCCTCTTACTTTATCTTAGGGATTATACCATATTTTTCTGACAGCTATTCAAAATAGCTATTAAAAAGCTACTTTTTAGGGGCACTTGGGTGGCTCAGTTGGTTAAGCAACTGCCTTCAGCTCAGGTCATGATCCTGGAGTCCCGGGACTGAGTCCCGTATCGGGCTCCCTGCTCGGCAGCGAGTCTGCTTCTCCCTCTGACCCTCCCCCCTCTCAGGTGCTCTCTCTTTCTCTCTCTCTCAAATAAATAAATAAAATCTTTAAAAAAAAAAAAAAAAGCTACTTTTTATTGAGATCACTTTTCACTGTGATACCAAAGTTAGAACACTTGACCCATGAACAACACAGGTTTGAAATGCATGGGTCCACTTATACATGGATTTTTTTTCTTTTCTTTTTTTTCATTTTTAAGTAATTTCTACACTCAGTGTGGGGCTCAAACTCACAACCCCAAGATCAAGAATCACATGCTCTTCTGACTGAGCCAACCAGGCACTCCCATGTGCATTTTTTTCTCAGTACATACATACAGTACTGTGAATGTATTCTCTCATGATTTTCTTAAGAATATTGTCTTTTCTCTAGCTTACTTTATTGTAAGAATACAGTATATAATACATATAACATGCAAAATATGCTTAATTGACTATGTTGTTAAGGCTGCCAGTCAACAGGAGGCTATCAGTCGTTTTGGGGGAGTCAAAAGTCACATATAAATTTTTAACTATGTGGGACGTTGGTGTCCCTACCCACCCACCCCACACACACCCCCACACCCCACACGTTGTGCAGGGTCAACTGTATTCAAATCTTTATCATGATGATCACCTGTACTTTCATAGTTTGCCATTGCTCCTTCACTGGGGCTGGTTCGCTTAATGGCATTCCTGTATTTGTCCAGAATATCCTCAGCGACCTGAGCTTGTGCACTGAGTCTAGGGCTGGGATCATCTGCAGGGGAAAGGAGAGTAGAGAGTTAGCTCCCCTTGGTTTGTAGCAATTCTGATGTTAGTATGATACCAGTAGCATAATCCCAAAGGCGGATTAGGAGGTAAGACTTAAAAAGAGCACATATCTCAATGTTAAGAGGCACCATGCAGCTGCCTGCTCATCCCATTTCTCGGTCTGAGAGCCTTGCCCAAGCACGAAATTGGGAGGATTGGCTCCATTTTCTCATCACTGCCAAAATTCTGCATGACAGTGTCGGGAAGTTCAGTGCAAACTACATGGATGATGGGTTTCTAAAGCGCTTCCACTCAAGTTACTGTTATTAGCAGTTCACGCTAACAGAACTTCCAACAGTGCATCTTTATATGCAGATTCATGTATTCAGACATCTCCATGCCGAAGGAGGGGAAAAAGTATCAAATTTAGAATTAAACCCTTTTAAATAGTAAAAAATGCCTTCCTCCACTCTTTCTGTATGACTCTCTGCTCCACATCTGAAAACTTCAGGTATCAATATTCTGTCTTCCTGAATCACCACGACAGTGCAGCTGCTGGAAGAGTGCACTCTGGTGCCTGCAATGGTGTCAGAGGCCCTCCGAGAGACTCTAGCCACTGCTGGAAAGTGCTGGAATTGTAGCCAGGGTACACGGAGAAAAAGCTTATCACCATCACAGACGTAGCACTGTTTACTGTCAGGACCATTATCCTGTCAGCAAAATCAGTGCATCAAAATGTGTTCCTGAAGTCTAAGATGACACAGTCATCAAGGCAAAGAACTGCTACAGATCTATGGGACAAAATCAAGTTCTCTAGTGAAATGCAAACTCCTGAGGTAGATCTAGACCAAGGAGGTAACCATAAATGTCCACATTCTGGTAGAATCCCATTTTTCAAAAAGTCTAAAAACACATAAAAAACACTAGATTTTATATATGTGTGTGTGTTGATAGCAGCTAATAATAATAGCAGCTAACATTTATTGAGCACTTACCACGTGCCAGGAACTGTGCTAAGCACCTTATATGAACGATCTCAATTAATCATCACAACAACCCTACAAGAGGTACTGTTATCACCTCCGTTTTATGGACGAGGAAATCAGATACAGAGAGGTTCGGTAGTATGCTCATGGGCTCTTCTGTTTCCATGGGGAAAAAAATTTAGTATCCCCTGTCTCTGTAAAATTGCAGTAAACTGTAGAGAAAGAGGGTTTCCAAACTAATTTAATCTTTCTGCTTTAATGGTATTTGAATGCATGAGAAGAGAATCCTAATAAAATCTGATCATCTTCAAAATGTAAACTGATAAACCTTTTATCATTACAAAATCTTTCTTTAGAGGGGAAGTACTTTTTTGCTATTGGTTTTGAGTGCTGTTGAGTGTTCTGAAAAAGGACCAATAAAATTTGGCTAACCATAGGGAAAGCCATATGTCGCTTATAACCTTTATTTCTATGCCATTAAGAACTTTATCCCAGGAAAGTAATGAAAACAAACAAAATATACTACATATACGAAGCTGTGAGCAATATTTTCACTGTAAAAAACTGGATACAATTCAAGTATCCAAAAGCAGGAGAACATTCACAATGCTATAAAATCATATGACAGATTATCTGCGAGCCAATACAAATTATTAAAACCAACCATGTCTATTAGAAACTGGAGAGGGTTTATGAAATAACATGTAGTAAAAGAAGAATACAAAGTTACACAATACTCTATTCAATCATGAAAAAGCCATGTACAAATATGGAAAGATTGGGAAAGAACATAAAAAAAAAAAGGATAGTTAGGGTGACTGCATTATGGACAGACTGTTAAGAAATTTCCTTTCATATCATTTAAAAGCTGATTTAATGATAATTTTCAACAGGTCATTAATTAGGACCGGGCAGAAATTTCTGCACTAGTAGGAAAGCTAAATTGCTTGAATCAAACACAAAGAAAATGAAATACCTTATAAAAAAAAAAAAAACACTTAACTTTACTTAGCTTCTACATTAGGCACCAAGAACCAAGGAAAACGTTTGCCCAAAGACACAAGCAAAAAATAATTTATAACTTCTCCAGTTATTAATTCAACATTTTAAAAACATTAGATTTCATTAAGAGTATTTCATTCCATAAACACTGGTGGTGGTCTAACACCAAGAACATGGTAAGAAAACATTAATACGTTTCCAACTCTTCTCAATCAGACTGTAGGCTCCTGTGATTTGACTGAATAACCACAACACTTAGCACAGTGCCTGGCATGAGTCAGATGTTCAACAAGTATTTGCTGACTGAGTAAGACGGGCCTGATGGCTCTCAGCAGAGAACCTTGGCCTGGACACATAGCTCCTGCTCTTCAAAACCCTTCATTCCAGGACAGTCACTGCACCAGATAAAGCAGGGATGTATGCTAGAGACCATGGAAATACATCCAAATACATGGAACCAGATACCAGAATGACATGCATTAAAATGGGATTCTACCTGTACTATGCTGAGCTACTTGAGGAGAATGTTCTTTGAAAACCTATACCATTTTTTTATAAAAATCTTCATTTTAATTTAGTAGGATAACATAGTTGAAAATCAAGATAAGAAAAAAAGAGGTGAGAAATTAATTTCTGGTCTAGATGCTCTACAGCCATCAGAAACAGTACAAAGCTATCAAACTCAAGGTGGGGTCATTAGCACTACTTCTCAAACTCATTCCTTTGAGGGTGCTCAATCATAATGTGCCAAACAGAAGCTGCAAAAACACAAATGCTGAATAAGGTAAGAATCCAATCCCCAGTTGTATTTTCCTTGGGTCAGATAGCAATGTTAAAATGATTCAAGCTGTAAAAAATTAGTAAAGTTTATAAATTTATGATACTGTTTGAACACTTTATCACAAAAAAAGGAAATGATTAGGTAGAACAGAATTTCACTGTGATCCTGAATAATCAAGAACTATAGATGGGAATAAATTTAGAATTCTATGATCAACGTTAGAGAAAGCTATGTGATCAATGATCCAAAGATGTGGCATGCATCGCACTACAACCACCACACCACACTTTCCTAAAAGGCCCCATGTGGCATCGTCCCCCTGGGATGTTGCGTTGCAGGGTTGTGCCTAGAGGCTCAGCCTCAGCGGCCTCATCATACACAGAAGTTATGATAATGAGGATGAGGATGGCGGTGGCAGTCTGCAGGAAGAGCACACTGAGGTTCACTGCGGCCACGGCCTGGAAGCCACAGAACTATGAAGAACACACTCCCCACTGCACACACACAGACACACTCTTCTAAAAAGGCAGCGCTTATGACGCCCAGGAAACAGTGCTATGAAATATGTGCTCTGGGAATGAAGGAGCCAGGAAGTCCACGGTCTACAAACCTGTGAGTGTTGAGAATCTGTCAGGCCCCACATCATCTTTGTCTTTTTCTTGTTTTTCTTTCTTTCTAAATGGTATAGGAGCTGGAAATTAAATAAAGTCAGTAGCGTGACACATAACATACTGCACTACTTGGAAGACAGCAGTCATTTTGGAGTATTAACTGGTGGGCCAACATTTCTAAGTGGAAAGGAAGGTGAAAAGTTTAAAAGCTAATATATCCTGAGTGTCCATGGATAATCATTCTTAAAACAGTGTTGAAGGTTCTTAAAGAAGCTTTCAGGATCTGCTTTGGGGTCATCTGTCACAGGAAGAATGATTTAACCCGAATCTGTTGGGACTAAATCAAAACCACTGCCTCTTAACCTTTGCTCGAAAACAACACATTCAAAGCTCTGAGCCTCAATCTGTCCTCATCAAGGAGGCTTGAGTACAGCTGAAAGCAGAGCTCCTCAGCTCCTGAGCGCCACGGTGCCGAGAAGAGGACTTTGGAAGACGTCCCTAGCCTTAACCCTGGATGATCTCTCCTTGCAGGAAGAGACACTTTTGCCAACTCAAATCTCAATATTTACTGCTACAATGCCAGGCTAGTCACCAAAAAAAAAAAAAAAAAAAACACAAACAAACAATTTTATACAACTGCCTTCCAAAATAAACACTCACTAATATTCAGGATATAAACAGTCTCAACAAACATAAACATAAAAAGCTTAAGTTTACTCCAGGAATGTAAAGGATGAATTTTCAATGTTTAATTACCAATATCATCCCTTTTTCCTGCAATAATTATTAACAATACATATGTTAAAAGTCCCACGTTTAACCCTGATGGCATATGATATTTAAACAACCGTGACCTGCCTGACTTCCACTTATGAAACCACTACCACTTCCTGCAAAGAACAAGAACTATCATTTCTAGAAGTCTGCCTTTAGCATTCACCTGAGTGAAACCATTTTCTATACCCTCCAAACGGCTAGAAACTTAGGCCCAGCAAGCCACACAGAGGAGCTGACATACTGGCTCTCTGAAAGAGATCTGGGGGCTTTGCTTCTTGTTGCTAATATAATTCTAATATTTTATAAAATTACCTTTAGGCATGGCAGAAACAAAACGTTTTCTCCACCAAGGTCTGTTCCTGTCTGATTTCTCATCATCGCTATCTTTGCGTTCTTCAGTCTGTAGAAAAAGTTTGATGCTTTATTTGGAGTTGGACAGCAGGATAAATTACTAGGAAAAGGATTTCAGTTTGTCTGTGAAATACAAAAACCACTCTTGTTTGTCTTAAAAGCAAAACTGTTCTTATTGCTGTACAGGCAACTTCTGAAACATGGAAGTATACCTTTTAAGCACCAGACTATGATCTGCTTGAGGGCAGGCACTATCTCATTACTGTTAGTAAACAAAAACCTTAATACAGAGCCTAGCATAGAGTAAGGCACTCAATAAATACTTTTGGAAGGAGTAAGCGCAATGCACATGAAGTCTAGAGGGGTAATGGAGATGACACAGTAGTAGTAATAATAAAACTGAGTATGGACTGTGTGCCAAATACCAAGTGTTAAGGATACATATTTTGGCATTTAAACCTCACAGTAGCCTTAGGAGATAAATACTACTATTAAGCCCTTTTTATAGATGAGAAATAAGGGGCTAAAAAAGGTTATCTCCCTATCTTCCCCAAAGTTATATAGCCTGCGTGTGGCATAGTTGGGACTCAAACCCAGATGCAAACAACTTCAAAGTTCATGTTTTGATTGCCAATTAAATTGAGTTATTAAAATCACATGTCAAAGAGCTGAGACTATAGTTCCTTTACCAGTCTATCAAGTGACCTTAGACAAATCATTTAATTTCTCATCTCGGAAGGAAACTGTGAGGTTTAAATGAAATGAGATACAAAATTGCTTGGAGGAAAGTTCAGAGTGTCATAAAAATGCAAAATACATGACTACAAAACCAGAATAGTACAGGTTTCCCATGGGTTACACTGTGGACAAACTAGACTGACAGATCATCTTTAATCATGACCGCTGTCCATCTTCACTCTCAAGATGTATATATACCATGTTAATTTCACATATCAAGAGAACCAAGCGGACAGAACACTAAAGCTGACCACAATTAGCAAAATTCTTCTAGATGGCCTGTGTCCCATACCTCTCCTCTTGAGGAGTCCTTACTCGGGGAGGAAGATGATGAATGAGGTGCAGCCACCAAAGAAGTAGCACCAATGGCTGCGGCTGGAGGGAGTTCTCGCTCTTCAATCCCTGGACGACGGTTCCAGCTGGGGTCACTCATTGGTCGCCGGACAGATGATACTATATCAGAGCTCCTGCTGCGAACTAATCTCTCAGGGTAAGAATGCCTTTGCTTGAATGCCTCCATTTCAGCTGGAGTCAAAACATGGGAACCAAAGTTTGGCAACCTGGCCTCATTTCCTCCCACAGCTCCTTCCAGGATTGGGGGATCTGGTGGTGGATGCGATGGCCTGGCATAGTGAACCTTTGGCCTTACCACTGCAGACGCCCCTAGAACACAGGGAAAAAAAGGTTTGCAACTGAGATACAACTGATCCAACAAAGGCATCAACATAGGGTTTTGGTTCTGTTCGTCTGCCCAGGGTTAAGTCAAAAAGCTCATGTGACTACTTTACCTTCATGTGAAGACAGTGGATCAAACATGGCAAGTAGAGACTCTGACTGAGAAGGAGGAGAGGTCAGTTGGTGGGCGCCTAAAACAAATGGGCAAACTGTAAGACCAGTCAGAACTCATCACTCAGTAAGAATTTCTACACAGTGAAAAAGGTTCTAGCATTCTTCCACGGTATTCCTTTTCTTTTAAAGATTTATTATTTGATTCATATTTGAGAGAGAGTGCACACATGGGGGAAGGGGCAGAGGGAGAGAGAGAGAATCCCTAACAGACTCCGTACCCAGCACAAGCCCATACAGGGCTTGATCTCCCGACCCTGAGATCATGACCCACACTGAAATCAAGAGTCGGACGCTCAACCGACTGAGCCATCCAGGCACCCCAGTTTTCCTTTTCTTATCAATACAACTTGAGGGGCGTATCAGAAAAAAAGAGAATCTAATAAATATCATAATCTGATTACTTCAAATTCATGGTATGTTTTTATCTACATTTAAGTGGTATAGCAACCACATGTTAATTACTTTTAATGACCAAACTGCATTATAGTTAATGCAAGGAGTAGAGCCAAAAGATGTAAATCAACAAAATTTTCAGAATGTCACAGCTGGGGGCACCTGGGTGGCTCAGTCATTAAGCATCAGCCTTCGGCTCAGGACGTAATCCCAGGGTCCTGGGATCGAGCCCCGCATTGGGCTGCCTGCTTGGCGGGGAGCCTGCTTCTCCCTCTCCCACTCCTCCTGCTTGTGTTCCTGCTCTCGCTATCTCTCTCTGTCAAATAAATAAATAAATAATAAAATCTTAAAAAAAAAAAAATGTCACAACTGCCCTGAGTCTCACCTTCCTTCCACCTATAAAAATAAGGGCAAAAAATAATATTAATAATAATAATAAGGGAAGGGGTGCTTGGGTGGCTCAGTCGGTTAAGTGTCTGCCTTTGGCTCAGGTCATGATCCCAGGGTCCTAGGAGCCCCATGTCAAGCCTGCTTCTCCCCTCTCTCTGTCGCTACCCTTGCTTGTGCTCTTTCTCTCTCTCAAATAAAATCTTTAAAATAATAAGGGCAATATATGTGCTATGGTGACCACTGTGAATTGTGCAAGACTGTTGAATCACAGATCTGTACCTCTGAAACAAATAATACAATATATGTTAAAAAAAAAAATAAGAGCAATATTACCTAGAAGGAATATAAATAAAAAGTTGTAAAATTTGGGCGCCTGGGTGGCTCAGTTGGTTAAGCGACTGCCTTCGGCTCAGGTCATGATCCTGGAGTCCCTGGATCGAGTCCCGCATCGGGC